GAAGAGAAAGTTTCTTCTGTCAGGAAACAAATAGAAAAGAGAGTTTCTGCCGTCGAACAACAAATCGATTATAGAGTTTCATCTGTGAAAGAACAAATAAAAGAGTGAGTTTCTGCCATGGAACAACAAATTGATAACGGTTTCTGGTGTTGCCAAAGAAGTTGATACTTTAAAGAAATTCGTAGCGACATAAGGGAGCAATTCAGATGGTTTTAAATTCTTACCCATGCATGCTCCTCCCTCACTGAAGCTATCTGCGCATGATGGCAAGACCTCTTGGCAAGTTTATAAGACGAGATTTTCAATAGCGACAGAAGCGAACGAATGAGATTCCCAAGCTAAGGCCTGTCATCTTGCTGCTTCTTTCAGAGCAGACGCAGCGGATTTCCTGCAGTCTCTTCTCGAAAACCAGAGATTAGACTTTAAAGCTCTATCCGGCGCATTGGAGCTGTGCTTTGCAGGAAAATGTCTGAAAGACTACAGTAGGCTTCAATTAAAATCCCATCTACAGAAGCCCACGGAAACACTCCAAGAGCTCGCCATGGATGTTGAAAGGCTGTCTCACCGCGCCTTTATGGAGTGCCTGAGAGAAACAAGGAGAATCCTGTCCCTGCAGTACTTTATCGATGGCATCCGGAATCCCGAAATACAGAAATCCCTGAGAATGGTTGATGTCAAGGATTTAAAAGCGCTTTAGTGTACGCCATGAAATTGGAGGCAGCCCAGCAAGCAACACATAGAGACTGCAATCCAATCAGAGCTGCTCAAGTCCAGGAGCCAGTGGATCAAGTTACTACTCTTTTAGGCAGTTTAACCAGACAACTAAATGCCTTGATACAGAATATTGATGACAAGAAATCGATCCTAAAGTGCTAGAACTCCGGTGCTGAAGGGCACATACAAAGAAACTGCAGAACAACCCAGGGAACGGATGCTAAGACCGCTCCTAGTAAGAAGGAGTGAAACTAATTAGTGGCCATCTTGTCGGGCAGAGGTTGTCACATATTGACAAGTCCCGCTTTCAAGCATTTCATATTTCTGCCATCAGGGGCGATTTAGGCCGATCATCAGGGGCAGTAATGAACTCCTCATCATGAGATTTGTCAACGAAGTTCCCTGCAGTATGACCATCGATAAAGAGCCAATGTTACCATCATCAGAAAAGATTTGGCTCAATAAATGGAAGGTAAATTTCTCTGGACGCCGCCCTGCGTTATCTCCAGGCTGTATCCGGCAAGAAGATCAACATCGACGGAAAAGTGAACGTTAACATCACGTTTGGAAGTGCCGCCTACCATCACACGGCATATGTGGCAGAGATTACAGATCCTTGCATACTCTGATTGGAATTTCTAATGAAATACAATTTTTCCTTAGACTTCAAAAGTAACGAACTGCATTTTGCCTCTGAGGACATAGCCCTATTCGGCATTAATGATGAAGGAGTGAAATCTGTCCACAGAATTATAGCTCAAGACGATATCACAATCCCAGCAAGAACAGAATTTTTACTTCCTCGACCTATAACCAAAAATAGATATTTCTGCGACGGCATCATAGAATATCCCAATAACTGTTACAGTCCGAAAGGAGTATTAGTAGCCTGCGCACTTGTCGACCTATTGAGAACCGTTATCCCGGTGAGAGTTTCCAATGTAACTGTAAAGGCGAGAGTTATTAAGAAAGGTGATGTGGTGGAAGCATGTACTCCAGTGACCAGCGTTAAACGAAACAGTAACACTCCAGAATCCGTGTTGTCAGAGATAATTATATCGGAGTTATTGCAGAATGTGCAATTGAACGATGAAGAGAAGAATGCTGCCGAACGTGTCCTTCAAGATCTTCAAGTTGTTTTCTCCCGCTTGTCTTCTGACGTGGGTCGAACCAGTTAGACACAACATAGAATCGATACCAGCGATCATTCCCCGATCAAGCAACATCCAAGACGTCTACCGATTGCTAAACAGGAAGAGGTATGAAGACTTTTAAAAGTGGTTCCGATCCGATTCCATGGAGTGACAAAGAGGTCAGGGAAGACCAGCTAGAAATCAGCGACATTAAATCCATAATTGAATTGATTGAGTCTTCAAACACCTGGCAGGACATTTCGAGCTATAGTCCCACGACAAAACAATATTGAAACAATATTGGGCTGTGTTGGACTCGCTCCATATTCGAAGCAGTGTCTTGTACTAGAAATTCGAATTGGGTGATGGAAAGACTTTCCGCTAGAAACTGATACTTCCAAGATCCCAGATTCCGGATGTCCTTAAAGAACTACATATTAGCCCTACATGAGGTCACTTCGGAATAATGAAGACCTTGCAGAGAGTTTGTGAGAGCTTCTATTGGAATAATGCAAAGGATGACATGCAAAAGTGGTTCCGATCTTGCAAAGCCTGTGCATGTCGGAAAGGACCAAAGAAACGTAGCCGAGGCAAACTGCTACGTTACAACATAGGAGCACCTTTTGAACGTATCGCTTTTGACATCTTAGGATCTCTGTCAGGAACTGCTGTTGACAACAAATACAACCTCATTGTCATTGATTACTTCACCAAGTGGCTTGAAGCATATCCTATTCCTGATCAAGAGGCTGTCACAGTACCGGAGGTGATGATACAGCACTGGATTTCCAGGTTCGGAGTGCCTCTTCTGTTACATTCCGATAAGGGAAGAAATTTTACATCAGCTGTAATCAAAGAACTCTGCAAGCTACTCAGTATTGACAAAACCCAAATGATGCCTTTACATCCCCAGTCAGACGGAGAGAGTTTTAATCGAACCACCCTTAATAACCTATCATTAGTGGTTTCCAGAAACCAATAGGACTGGGACAAGAAGTTACCACATTATTTAGTTTGCTATTTTTAATAGAATTGTTATTAAATTATTTCATTTCCCCGTGCAATGCTGCACGCAACAAGTTTTAAGAGAAAGTTATGCCAAAAAAGTAAAAATACAGGAGCACGTGCATTTAATAAATAAATAAATTTCTCGTAATTATAGTCTTTTGCTTTTCAGAAAACTCAAGAAATAAAAATTACCAGGGTGTTCTCCTGCTTGATTAAAAAGCTTATAAAAGCCGGATTAAAACATCTCAGTTCAGTTGTTTACGTAGTGTTTGTTGCGTGTGAAAAAGTAAAAATACAGGAACATGCACATTTATTTAAATAGATATCTCATAATTTTAGTCTTTTGCTTTCCAGAAAACTCGATAAATAAAAACTACCAGAATACTCTCATGCATGATTAAAAAGCTTATAAAAGCAGGATTAAAACATGTTTCAATCCTGCTTTTATAAGTTAATTCAGTTGTTTACTTAGTTCTTGTTGATTGTAGCGAATTCGTGGTGAGATCGGATTTTCTTTCTCTGCTTTTAATTGTGTTCTATTTGATGTTTTTGTAGTTTAAAATATAACTACTGTGAGATATTGTGATATTGTACGAATATCTCTGAGAAATTTCAGCATTTTGTTTTATATCTTGGGATAAGAATAAATTTTATTAACTTTCTATCAAATTGTGCATTCAATCCATTACAAACCCGTACGCACACAACAGTATGTACTGTTTATATTTCTGAACTTCTGTTTATTAGTTTTACAATTAAGTGGATACTTATCCAGGATACACATGCTTCTAGTTAACTTAAGCTGCACTGATTCTCTGCCTTCCCTAGAGTCCTCTTATATATATATATATATATATAATGCAGTCTCTCAGGGATTTACTGGAGAAGAGTATTTCAGTGTTTTGTACATTTGAACATATGCATGCATGGATATATGCAAATGAGAGAGCTGATTGGCTTACCAAGAATGTAGCTAGAAAATACTATATATAAATATTCCCAAATCTTAGTTTAAAAAAATATTCAAAGCAAAGTGATTGAACGATGGAGTTATGGCTATGTCATTTCTGATAAGGGAGATATTATGAAACTGTTCTTTCCAACTGTCTTTGAAAGACTGAAAAGTAAGGATTTGTAGCTTAATTTTTGTCTGGGCATGAAAAGTGTAATGTTTTCCTTGAATAGTTAAAACCGACATCTTCCAACTTGTGCTATTGTGATCTTGGCTCTTGGCATTCAGCAAAGTGTCTTCCACTTAATAAAGTAACATTCTGAATTTCTATACTAAAATACCATTTTTGACTTGTAGTTTTTTTTTTTTTTTTGGGGGGGGGGGCGGTTTCTGAGAAAATAATAGATTGGTGCATTCGACAATAATTGGATTGCCTTTTGTTAAATCATGCAAGAAATTCAATAAAATGTAGATTGAAATTAGAATTAAATGGCCATCATACTGTCCTGCATCTGTTTATCTACCTTCAGCCTACCTTTCTTTTAATGACTATATTGACTTTTATTTCAATAGTGTAAATGTTTTTCTTTGTATTTGCTTTTTTTTTTTTTTTTTTTTTTTCAGTCATACATGTTTGATTTATTCGTATTATTTAAAGTTGATATTTTTTCCTTTAGTTAGATTTTTGTAAGCCTCTTGTGATACTTTGTGGTGCACAAGGAAAAGGGTTTTTAAAAATAAATATAAAATGTGTAATATAATGAATAAATGTGCAAATCGGTTTCATGCATATATTGTTTGGGATTTTATCAATGTTAATTGTATTTTAAGTTTACAAACTTTAATCTATTTACAAATTTAGATTTTCATTATTATTATTTTTTCCCTTTGATATTTATATTCATAAGGGGTTTATTAGTCCAAATGGTCTGTTTTTTGCTCGTCCAGAAAGACAACTGAGTGGTCAATTTAATCTGTTTTATTTCTATACCACACATGGTCAAAAATTAGTAAATTCTGTTATTTGTATCTGTACGTGAGTGCACTCACAGTTGTGAAGATTTTATAATTCATTTCAAAACAGTTCATGTAAATTATGTGTGGAAGAATACTAAAGTATACTGACTCACTTTCCTTAATAATTAAATTTGTTTGTCTTTTGCATTTTTTAAAATACATTTTGCTTTTAATAGGAGTGCATGCAAACGTATCACCTCTCCAGACAAAGTTATTTCAGAACTTTCTGATTGCTATTTTCAAGAATTGGTTCCAAATGAGATTCAGAAACAAGTACAAAAGAAGTAAGAGAATTGTAAAGCTTTAATTATTTAAATATGCCTTAATGCCTTTGTAAAAATAGCCTAAATGTTTTAGAATTAGAATAAAGTTGTTTTAACTCTTGGCTGATCCCAAATTACTTATCAGTGGTAGGACTGTAGTTAATTATCTATGTTAGTTCAATACAATAAAAAGGATATTCCAAAATGGACTGTAATATTTTTTTTAATAATGATAAACAGGTTATCCATTTCTCATGAACTCCCAGTATTAGGTAAATTGCTTCTCAAGCCAAAAAAAAAGAGGGGGGGGGTAGGATTTTTTTTTTTTTTTTTTTTTCTTGTTTGTTTTTGTTTTTTTGATTGTATGTGTGTGAAATTAGAACTTGCTGTTAGATGGGAGCAGCCTTTGTACCATTAAATAGTACTTTTTGTGCTGAAATTCATTTACTGCTGATAGAAAATGTGTATTTATTAAATAATTAACTACTTAATCTGACTGCTTGTGTAATATCTGCCATTTCTCAGAAAATGCATATTATATGTATATCCATATATATACACTACAAAGTCTGAGATCCTGAAAGATCTAAACTCCAACAACCTTTTTTGGGGGGGCATATGCTTTACAAATGCACATTTAATTCCTCCCCCTCCCCAATAATAAAACATGTGGAGAGTCCCAATTCTTAATTTCACGTCGGCACTAAATGAAATACCTCCTTATTGAAGAAACAATAATTTTAGCATAAATTTGTATGATCAATAATTTGGCTTCGTATTTGGCTCATGGTATCTGCTTTGGTATCTGCTTGCCATACATTTCAAACTGAAGCATTTTATGTAGAAATATCATTGATTTTACACCTACTAATATTTTATATCCCTGATGCCAACCTGGTGAATCATTATTTATTATATTTTGCTTTCATCACTGCATGGTGATCAACACATGACAGCTTGAGTATTGACTCATGCAGCAATGCCTAAACAATTTTTTTATATCAGTAATTGAATCAAAAAAGTATGGTAACCTTTTATATTGACATTATGCTTAGCGACGATTGCAGATTTAAGTTGAATGCACTTATCAAGAAAGAGAACTGGGTGAAATGCTGACGGGGAAAAATATAACGAAAATTTCTTTCCATATGCTAAAAATGGATCTTGTTAATGATACTCATAAGCCAAAAGATTACAATTAGTGCCATTTGGATTAACACTAGCATTATGGCATTTTCCATATATACCTATAACTATGATCATAGCTATAAATGATCATACCTATAACTATGATCAAAATGATCATACCTATAACTATGATCATTTTGATCGCTTTTTTTTTTAATAGAAGGAAAGTCTCATTTTTTGCTGATATTATGTAAAGTTAATGCTTATAACGATATATTTTGCAAGTTTAATAAGTAAATAAAGTAAACTGAGTAAATACATGCAACCAAAAGTAGTTTATTTTAACAAAAAGCAAAATAAAGCAATGTGAGTAAATATATTAATCGAAGGATAATTTAATATAACAAAGGGTTAAAAAAAATTCACTGTAGATATTTTTAGATATCTTATTTAATAAATTGCCTCATAAAATTTTTCAATATGAAATAATTATATTAAAAATTACACATATTAGTACTTACATTGCTTGGTTTTGCAGTGCATACAGATTACTAATTTTTTAATTTTACCTGTACAGGTTCCACAGACATATTTTGTACAATATTTACACATATTCAAAGCTTTGTTGCCTCTGCATGCATTTATTTGTCACTTGTTTACGTTTACGGGAAGGGTTGATGCAAGTGCCAATTCTCTTTTCGTTAGATACAGAAAGTTTGCGAATTCTGGATGAAATGTACATCTTTTGAAGCTCCTCGGCTGTATTCAAAATAAAATCGCAATGGCTGATAATCTTATATTCAGTTGTTTCCTTTCAAATTATCCATGCATTTATCACGGCCAATTCAAGAATATTAAAAACAAACTTGAACTGGCCAGTGGATGGAAGAGAACTTCACTTAGTATTTTCTGGCCATTGAGTCCAAAAACATCAACTCCATATTTGGCTGAGTTGTAAAAGTTCACAACTTTCGGTGTATTTTTTTCATCAGGTGCGATTTCCAATTTTGGGTGCATGGTACTCAGGAGTAGATTCTTGTTTTTCTCCCCTTGATAAGATGTAAGTTATATTGTCATGCTTAAAAATATTACTAGAACAGAGTTCATCCCTTGTATTTTTGAAAGAATAAGGTACTTTTGTTTTTGAATGATTTATTGTGCCAGTGCAGCTTATCCCTGAATTCCTCACTTCTTTTATCAATTTCAGTGGTTCCATCAAACGAAAAGCTGCGTGTTCACCTACTGTTTCTCCAACTGGTCTTGTTTTGTTTTTTCCCAAATAGGGAAATGTGTTCAGTAAGTATTTTGACTATACATCAGTAGCAAGCCAAAATTTAATGCCGAATTTGCACGGTGTTTTAGGCATGTACTGAACAAATCGGCATCGGATCTTCAGGGAAAATAATTGTTCATCCACTGTTATATTTTTGCCCAGTTTACAACATTTCAAGCAGCTTTCTATAAAAGCATTCTAGATATCTGAAACTAGGGCAAATGGGTCAGTTTGCAGTCTTTAGGATCATATTAAAAGTTTTACTTTCCTTTTCTGTTTCATGAACGGGTTCTCCATCAGGCGAATTGGATTCATTTCTTTCAGTAGGAACAATCCAGTACTCGTCTGATAAACTGGATGTAGTTTCGAATTGAAATTCATTAGTTTCATTTGTCATCAGAAAGACTTTCAAAAACTTTCAGCATCCCTTTCTTCATGAGATATTTTCTACCAACACTTCTAGAAGAAAGACAGGTCAGAATAACAAAACTATCCAAACAAAGTAAAGTACATTTGTGTCTACTGAAAAATAAACTTTCTAATGCAAGTGAAATGAGCAGACACGTGGCACGCAAAATTTCCAAACAAGTGTTTTTATTTCCTCCTCGTACCCTCCCCACTCACTTCTGTGAAATATGCAATCTTCCCTACTATTCACCAAAGCTCTCTTTAAAGCTACTAAAGCTACTTAATCTTGTACCAACTGCTTTCTTAAATAGAACTTACTTTCAACGACACTGCAGAATGATGGATGGTAAGTCTTATGAAATGTGCACTTTGTATATTTTGAACAGAATAATTGTCTGAAATTAAATTTTTAATAAATATTGTACACACTGTCAGGTAATTAATAAGTAGTTATTTAAAAATAAATTGATCTAACATATAATATTTCATTTTGTGAAACATTAAGAAATATATTTCTCTTTTTATTCTCTCTTTTTTTTTTTTTTTTTTTTCCCATACTCTGTCAAGCTGAATTTTCAACAAACACTGGATAATGTAATGTTAATATAATTCTTATAATATCCAAAACTGCGAAGAAACTCATTTGTAATGAAACTACATTAATAGTCAGTGAAGAATTGCTGTTCAGTCTTAAATAATGCAGGTTTTCAGTTGCAGTTTGATACATTTTGGCATAGATATGGTTTACAAGATTATATGAATGATAATTAAATAGGCAGACATGTTTGTCATCTGTACTTCCATACCAGTAATACTTTTTTACATGACTATTTTGTGCCTCCTTTCAAATTATTGCAATCATGTAACCGTTGCCTCAGCAATGTAAGAAATTGTTTAAAATTGTGAATTCTGAAAGTTTTACCAGCTAGTTTTACCAATTATTGCTTTTGCTAGTTTCCCATCAATCTGAAAACTTTAGTTACTGTAAATAAGTTCTTGAAATCTATTTCATTTCTAAATAAATATTAATATTTCTCCTTTTTCACACCATTTTAATAACTGATTTACCACCATAATATGGAATGAATAATCTTGGTATCTGTAACTAAATTGTTCCTCATCATATAGAAAAGTAAATGGTACCTATGAAGCCATCTGTATTCAGTTAAATCAATTAGTTTCTGTGATTTGTACTTGCCTGTAACATAAGGAGCTTTGAGGGTTTTTCAAATACGAGTTAATCTTTTAAGGCAGATACTGTTAATGCAAGCTGAGCCCTTTGTGATCATACTAGCATATTATTTGTTTGCTAGCTGAGCTTGTTCATGAATACTGGAAAGTTACTTAAGCTACTTTTGTAAATAATTAAGCAGGTGCTGATATGCACAGTAGTTTAATTTGTTATTTCCTTCAGTTGGTCTAGCTTCATATTTTTGTGGGATTTATTGTTAGATTATGTTATGAAACTGCTAATTTAATTGATTCTATCTTGAGAGAAAACAAATTGATTGCAGGAAATTTTCTGTAGTTTTCTTAATTTATTTTTATTTTAGTATTATTACATTATTTTTTATGTGTGATTAAATGTAAGTCTGCCTGAAAATTTTTTCTCAGCTGTAGTAAGTTTTATATATTCTGTTATTATAAGTAAATGAGATTAGTTTGTGTTAATATATATATTTATTTTAATGCATGTTCTTATGTAGTAACACTTAAAATGTTAGATAAAAGATTTGTATTTGATTTTTTTTAATAAAACATTTTTGTTTTTCTTGAAATCTAAATTATGGCTGACATAGCATATGAAGCTGAATTAGTAATTAGCCGAATTGTCAAAATTTAAATTTTACCTTTGTAAACTTTTTTTCAAAGACATATAGTGCCTTTAAAGTCTGAATGTGGTAAATGTACTACAGCATTTAGATATAAAGCAGCCTGTTGGATTTTTTTTCCATGGAGCTTCAGGCAATTCAGAAATTTATATTGAATATCTCAGCTGTAACATGCTGTCTATTGTTTAGAAATTTTATCCTGTCAGTTGTGTCACACTTGCAAAAATACTGAATGCATAGAAAGTGCTTTGGTCTATGTAGCAAAGGATCATTTATCAGTTTTTATAGGGAAGGGATCTCACGCTTACAAGTTTTGATTACAAGCTTCTCAGATAACTATCAAGCTGACAAGCATCTTAGACAGTATGGAGAAAAGTATCTGTTATAAATCAAGATATCTGAGTGGCATAAGGTCTTTCAAGGTTGATAAACCATTTGCAAGTTTGAAACATGACCTTTTTTTTCGAGTGACTGAGAGACTTCTAAAGAGGTTATCACACATGGCTACAGTCCTTGCTAGACGGGACTTTTCTGAGAAACGAGATTCTGGTAGCACTGGTTTAAATGGGAGGATTCCTAGAAAAAAAGACTCCGCCTGAAATGAAGTCCAGCCTAGCTACAGAAATGATGTTGCAACTACTTGGGAGTTTTTCAAACCTTACCGAAAATGTCTCGGCTGGACCTCTGTCCCGTGTAGAGACAACCAATCAGATGAAAGTTCTGCTTCTGAAACATCACGTGATCCCAATTTGAGTGATAATTGATTAGTGTTTGGCATTCAAGTCTTTGTAATAAGTGAAAATGGCTACCCAGCTATGTGGGTTTCCTGGGATTGTGCGGGTTCTGAGAATTGTCCCTTTCTACGTCAAGTCCCTCTTGGCCGAAACATGATGTGATTGAGGTTTCACATTCATATTGCTCTCTCGGGTGTTGCACATGACTGACAATATCAAGCTTTCATTGCATTGCGATAATTACAGCATCCAAGGTTACTTGTTGTGGTACATGAACCATCATATTAAAAATGCAAGTCTGAGTACTATATGAATGATGTGTCTTAGTATCTTTATCACATATTTCAGTTCACTGTGAATAAAATATAAACTTTGAAGTAATTTTGATTTATCTGCATGCATCAAAATTTTTAATTTCATATTACTAAATATAATATAATATTCAAAATTTTAGAAATGTTAATATACATTTGCAATATTGCATTAGTTTGAAACTATTTTTTAAATTGATTGTCTATTATTTTATTTAGAATGGAAAAAGCTACATTTCGAGAATCAACTCATTACATTTCTGGAGCTCACACAAAACTGCAAAGAAAAAGGAATTGATCATGTACTTCTATTTATATTTGTTCATTATTACAAAGATTCAAATTTATTAATCAGAAACTGACAAAATTTTCATACAAATTATTTATTTCCTGATATGAATTTTTTCAAGGCATAGTATAATTCTTTTTGGCTAATTTATACAGATTTTAAATGTTGATTATATCCTGAATTTCATTAAATATTTTAAATTTGTTTTACAGCATGTAATTTTATTATTTTCATGTTAATATATTATTACTGATTATAATCAGCTTTGCAAGTTCTATCAAATCTTGCTTAGTAAAATAAATAACTTTATATTAAACTTTGTATTATAGCTTTCAAAATTATTATCTAACACCAAATACAGAATCATTCACCTGCCAAAACAGCAAAACATTAGAACGTTTGCTATGTAGCATACCAAAAATCTATACACTACTGGCCTTTAAAATTGCAGTGCAAGTAGAATGTGCTTGAAAGTTCATGAAAAGTTGAACATGCTATGATAGGCAAATGATTAGCATTTCATGGCATGCATATATTGTGAGCAAGCATAATAATAATTTGAAACAGTATAAAAAGAAAATTAAAAGCCAACTTTTCATTCAAAAAACACATTTACTCAGTGTTTTTGTTTCGGAATTCGTGTAAAAAGAAGTAATTTCTATCACATGTCTCAATTTGATCATAGCTTACTGGGGCTGCTTATTATTGTATAATACACTTGCTGCTTGTGCTGGTTGAAATTTACAGTCAAAAGTCTTTCATCCGGACTCGTCGGGACTTCGGCGATTCCGGATTATAGATCATCAATTTAAATCTGGTAAGGTGGCATGCAGAAATTATAAAATTAAAAATATGAAACCGTAATAAAAAAAAAAGCTTAATATTTATTTGCTTACTTTATTAAACATTTCTTTCAACGTGCGCATGCATAAAGCATCCATTATGTATAGTCAAAATTAGAAAATTGCAACCAGAAAACTATTTGCTGTGTATTCATGATATTTATAATGACGAGGAAATTCGATTTAAATCATATCAAAGATGAGTACATCGAGATGAAACACTACATTTAGTAAGGAAATTATAAGCCGAATAAAATAAAAACATCTGCCCTGAAAATAAGGATAGTGCTGACAGATCAACTTACAGTTCATCCCGCAACGCTAACGTCGCACCCCCCCCCCGCAGCTTCAGCGTGAAATTGATAAACAGATTTCAGGAATGGTTAGAGAAACAAATCACCTCTCCGTAACTTTCTTCATGCCTTTATCCATTTTTTGCAGCAAGTTCCACTTGTTGTTTGATGGACATCGAAACATGCTTTTGCTTTGTAGATCCTTTGGCAGCTCCAGAATCGGAAATTCTTTTTGACATAATCGAAAGTTCAAACTTACTTTTATAAAATTATTCTAACAGTCTGCAAAAAGTAATAAGACGAATCCAATTAGAAGATTAAAGAACAATGCAATCTGCAGCATTAACTGAAATAGATAGTTAGGTAATTTTAGCTTACTGTCCGTTATACATTAAACGCGCATTATACGTTTACGCATGCGCAGAAAGTTTGTAGCTTTGAGGTCCAGATTATAGATCATTCCAGATTATGGACATCCGGATTAAAGACTTTTGACTGTAATAAGAACTGGCAACTGATTAAGCTTACCATGTTTTTGGATGCAACCCAGGACATATTTTTGAAATTACTTTAAAATCTTAACAGTTTACTGAAACATTAAACTTTATTTATTCAGATATTTTTCACTAGATATGATTTTTTTTCCCAGAAATGGTAAATTTGTTTTAATTATATCATAAAATTTACAGCAAAAAAAGTTCTGAATTAATTTTAACATATGTTTAAGAGTAGATAATGATATTCTGCCCCTTTATGCAGGTCAGATGTTCCCCATAATTGAAAACACTCTCTCAAATGGAGCAGATGTCCCAGGCAAAAACATTGCAAACATTAATAGTGATATTATAGAAATATTGTAACATGAAATATCAGTATTTATTGGTTGGTTCTCCAGAACTCTGAGTGTTGTATACTAGAATTACAAAATTGTTTACACTTGAGAAGAATTTTTGTATCCTAAACATCATTTGTTTTTCTCTTAGAGTGCATAGCAATTCTTTTGCATATGATACAGACTCATAGGTTATTCTTTCCTGAATTCAGAATATGCCTGAGATGCTGTGATAGAATTAGCATACAATTTCAAAAGTACATTATAAAATAACTGTAGAGTACCATATAAAAATTTCAAAAGAGTTCACTTTCTAGATTGATTTCTAGATTATTTAAAAAAAAAAAATTGATTGAATAGTAATTTTGGACATTTGTTACAATCTGGGCTGAACAACTAGTTCCCAAAATGGGTCTACCTAAATCACTTTGAACTTTTCTTGTACACATTTTCATTATCCTTTCTCTTCACATTGCCAAAATTACTGTTATTGTTACATATTTAACAAACCAACTTTTCTTCAGGTTTGTATTTTTTCATACAGTGCTAAAGATACAGAGTCAAAATTTGAGCTGTTCCACTTGAAAATTCATCAAAATTTAAAAGTTTAACTAGAATTCCCTTCTCCAGACTGAAATATCTTACAACAATCGCAACAAGTTTTATTTCACTTCTGTTTGAGCTATCCATCATTACTTTTACATAATTAATGTTTTCCAAAGAACACAACACATTATTAAACATAAATGGCAAAATAACATTAACAATTATTGCCTCAGTTTTGGTTCTAGCAGATGATTTGGGTCGTATAATTTTTTAACCAGTTTTAGATGCTCAGCATGGTGTTTTGAAAATGAATTTGTGTCTAGCAGTGTGGTATCAAAATGTCACTTCTTTAGCAGCGTACTCCAAAATCATTCTTATTGTTATTTCCAACTATGGCTTTATAAAAAAAAAGCCATAAAGAAAAACTTTACTGAAGCAATAGTATTAATAGTGATATTATGTTTAGTTGTTTTCATATGGTCTTCAGCATTAAACACACATTTTCTTTGCCCATTGCTAATTGATGAGATAAAATGAACAAAATCGTGCAAACAAGTTATGTCACACATGAAAACAATATAAACACATTGCTGCTGTTGTGTTGCCAAATAACTAAGTAAAAACTTGTAAAAGGCCATGGAGGGAACCTTTACTGAAGGCAGTAGCGTTAATAGCGATATTATGTTTAGTTGTTTTCATATGGTCTTTAATATAACCCTTTCCTTTTCGTAACAATTCAAAAAGTACTTTCAAGAGTTTTCAGTGATACACATGAACTTCGTTATCTGTGTCCAAAATTGTCAGGATAATTCCAGAGATAGCTTCAGGAATTTTCAGTGCTGCTCATCAATTTCGTTAACTATGTTCAAAATTATCGGGATGATTCGAGAGTAAATTTTCGGTGATGCGCTTGAACCTATTATCTATGTCCAAAATTATCGGGATGACTCAAGAAGTAGTTTCGAGAAGTTTTAATGATGCGCAGTGTACAGATTACTAAAAAATCCTGGCAAATTCTGTTGGATGTCACGCTGAAATATTGTATCAGACAGGGTCATCATGAGAGGCATTGATTATTCAAACACCACTGAAATTGAATCCAATTTTTTTAGGGAAGGTAGTGAATTCCTTCATACTGGGCATCAGTAAAAGTAGTTATTCCAAAGTTTTGGAAAAGAAATATTTAACTGTTTCTTAGGTTAAGATCTAAAGATTCGAATGATCTCAGTTTGTTGGTCTTTATATTAATTGTATAGCGAAATAAACTTACTTTTAACCAAAAGCCTAAATAAGTTAATATCTTATTCTTAAATAAATATCCTTTCTCGAATAACAGTTTCTCTGCAGTGCGCATTAACGTGTGTCATTTAATTTATCCTTTCTAAAAGGACTGCTCCTCCTAAAACACTCAATTTTCTTTTCAAAAATAATTTTTAATTTGCTCAAAAAACACTTCTTATGTAATAGAATGGATATGTTTCTGATTTATTTTACTTCTACTAAAATAAAACAACAATAATTATAAACGGACAGGTATAGAGGAAATCAGAAGAAAATATTTGATTTCTCTTTGAAGGAAAAAAAAAACGCTTAGTTGCCCAGTACAAGAGTTGCAAATTTTTATTTTCTTGCTACTTAACATGATAAGCACAAAACAGTAGATACAAGATGTATTTATTCATATTGTTGCGTGAGTTCGAAAACTTACGGATCCGAACCATGACGTCATTCAGTCTGTTCAGGAATGTATATGGACCATCCGAAGGTGAGCGTAATTTAGCACTGAGTCCTTTTCTTTGAATCGGATTCCACAACCACACCTTGTCGCCTTCTGTTCATGGAATCTGTTGTCTCAGTAGCTCTCGTGTTGTATCTGGTCTTCACTTTCTCCATCGCCAAGTTGACTCGCTTTCATGCGGAACGGTAATGATGCATCTTCAAAACTGGGGATGGGCATCTTGGGTGTGTTCCTCAGGCGATGAAGGCGCATCCGTAGAGCGATCCAAACAGGCGGTCACAAGGCAGATGAAGGTCTCGACCGAAGAGCATTCTGAGATGGAGAATAGCTGGTAGTCTGGCATTTCTTTTCGACCCTAGTATGATTTCAGGCAGCTTTCTGAATAGGGTCTTTCACATGAGATGTCGGCGTTTCCAGGCAAGGATCCCTTTTGAAGATGGATAGTCATGTCTTCAGATGCTGAGAACAGCTTATTGTTTTTGAAGTCTAAGGAAAAATTGTATTTCCTTAAAAAGTTCAATCCGAGTATGCATGGATCGGTAATATCCGCCACATATGCCGTGTGATGGTAGGCGGCACTTCCAAACGTGATGTTCACGTTTAACTTCCCAGCTATCTCGATCTTGTCACCAGACGCAGTCTGAAGGGTAACACAGGATGGCGTCCAAATAAGTTTATCTTTAAACTGTTCAGCTAAATCTTTCCTAATGGTAACATTAGCTCCTGTATCAATGATCATATTGCAAGGAATTCCATCTATATGCCCATTGATGGACAGTCCATTACTGTTGCCACTCTACAAATCTTGTGTGCTTTAAAACAAGGTTTTTCATTATCTGGCAACCTCCGTTCCTTGATATGGTCATTAATTTGTTTCCTGCGTCGTTGCTGAGAAATGGTCTCCATGTTCATACCCTGGGGTGTTCTGCTATTCTTTCGTACGTGGCCTTCAGCTCCACAGTTCCAGCACTTTGGTTTCTTGTCAATCCTTTTCCTTCCCATGGCATTTAATTGTCTCTTTAAATCGTATACCTTATTTTCCGTGCTCTGGGGTGTTCTG